TATATGATCTAGGGACTTTATCTTAAGTGCAAATATAGGATAAATGCTAATTCATAAGATAAAGTAATGCCTATTTATTAATATAATTCCAATAGATCGTATTTACAAGTATAATATGTCCAATCTGATTGAAACGACGGGTATTCTACTCTAACAAGTTTGGCTATTAATGATACGATATCTGTTGTGGTTTGAGTAGTATAGGATCTCAGTGCCTCTAAGGTTGTAGTTCTAGTTATGGTTTGTTATATTGTGACCCTGAATTCCTTGTAGTTTTAATATGCTTTCAAAATTTCATGATGTACAGCTTTTTGCATGTGTAGGGCTGTGGGGGAGTAGTACCCAATTTGGTGTTGCAAACTTAGATTCCATAGAACTATATACTTGTTTTAGTCCTTAAGTTTGAAGGATTGGTGCCAGAGTTGCCAACCCAGTTTTTGTTAGATATGTTGAATACTTATATAAACATAAAAACTAAAAAATGCATTTATAAATAATTTAAATAGATATTATTTTTTTATACATCATATATATTATATATTTATTCATAAATTGAATTATAATATAAAAATTGTAATACTCTTTCTCTGAATCTCTTTATCTCCAGTGTTGCTAATAGCTAATCATTATATGACTGTATTTATTCTTTTTGGTAACGATCATCATTACATAGCCAGTTATGTGAGACAATGAGCTCGTTGTTCTTTAAACTCAATAGGCATAAAAATTAAAGGATCTTATCTTGGTAACCTGTAGGCAAGGTTTGGTTTGAGGAATGTGATTTTTAGATGGTTCATAGCAAATGACATTATGAAAAAAAGTATGAAACTAATGTTTTGCTTGCTAATTCGTTGCATATCTTATCTGTATCACTCCTTCCTCTCTTTGCAAAAATTAGGGGGAAATTCCTGGTGGGTTGATCGGTTTCTCGCCCAACACATTGCGATATTTTACTATCTCTTGACTGCTTTCGTGTATCCTTTGAGCCCAAGAATGGCATGTAAGTATAAATCTGATGCTGATAGTTGTTTGTATAGCGGGTCATCTATCTGCTACATGGCTACTTGTGTAGAACTCTTATTGTCAAATTCTCATATGCCAAAAAGTAGTTAATATGGAAATGCAATATTGGTAAAATAACTTCATTTAAAAGTATATGACTATTTAGTTGTAAAAATTGGTAAAGTGTTCATTCTGTATGTTACGAATGCGACTTATCATTTCCCCTATAATGTTGTGTTCCTAATATATTTCAGCGATACGGTGGAAAAAGTAGTCCTTCATTTGGCATATTGGAGAGGTTATTTCTTTTCTGTTACAACTTATACTAGGGCAACATCCGTGTATTACACGGGTGTGGTAAAAATTGGTAAAGAGTTCATTCTGTATGTTACGAATACGACTTATCATTTCCCCTATAATGCTGTGTTCCTAATATATTTCAGCGATACGGTGGAAAAAGTAGTCCTTCATTTGGCATATTGGAGAGGTTATTTCTTTTCTTTTGTAACTTATACTAGGGCAACATCCGTGTATTACACGGGTGTGGTAAAAATTGGTAAAGAGTTCATTCTGTATGTTACGAATGTGACTTATCCTTTCCCCTATAATGTTGTGTTCCTAATAAATTTCAGCGATACGGTGGAAAAAGTAGTCCTTCATTTGGCATATTGGAGAGGTTATTTCTTTTCTGTTATAACTTATACTAGGGCAACATCCGTGTATTACACGGGTGTTTGTTAAGAAATTTATATTTAAAAAGAAAAATAGTAATAATTTTTTTAATGTCAAATACGTTTTTGAACAACTATATTACTATTTATATTTAAAATAACACACATCATTTATACGGCTTACCGCCTTATATTAATAGTTGCCCATGTGTACTCCATTAGCAAGACAAAATGATGTTGTTTTTCAGTCAAATGTGTGCATGCCACATAAGCAGTGGACATATTAACATATACCCACCGTGGGTAGGTGAGCATTATTGACTTATTTCATTATGATTTTAGCTCTTCTTTCTTTTCGTATAATTATTTTGTTTTGAACATGCAACACGTTGGTGACAGGGTGGGTCCCCGCACTTCTTCGAGCAGGCAAAAGGATGACACTGTGGAAAACGCCATCAAAGAATCACCTCCTCTTATGCTGGAACTTTGCATGTATAGGTCGTTTTGCATGTAAAGATGATTTTGTACAGTGGCTAATTTTGTAATTTTTTGGCATCTTTTGTATGGAAGAACCCTTGAATTTTGTATTTTGGCTCTTTTAGTTCAATGGCAAGTTAATTTCTTTTTTTTTTTCCAATGATAGAATTTTCATAAATAAAAAGGATGTACAAGCGGGAAAACCCGAGACCATTCTCGTGGTTTTCATAATTGTTGGCACATTATGAATATTAACACTCTTCCTCCGACCGGTGTACTCATTTTCATTATCCTGCTCGAGTTGCCCATTCTCGTCAACATTTTCGTGTCCATTCTCGTGGACGTTCGCTTCTCCATTGAAATCATCATAATACCGACCATCATTGATGTCCTTATTTTCATTATCATGCTCGAGTTGCTCATTCTCGTCCTCATTTCCGCTTTCATTCTCGTGGACGTTTGCTTCTTCATTCAAAATATCATAATATCGACCATCATCCTCACCATCAAATGTACTATCTTTACCCCAATCAACATGGTTTGAAAAATCACTTTCAACAGCTCGAGAAGAGGAATGTT